ATTTCACAGACCCCACAACCAAGAACTCAGTTTAGATGACTGAGACAGGTACACACCCATAGTGCTTCATTTGACCTGTACTGACACAAACTAGGCATCACTAATTTAGATGCTCAAACAGGAAATTTCAACCTGATTTTCCCAAATATTTTACTGGTAACTCAGTGTGGACCTAAATTGGAATAACATTCAACCTCCCCCCACCCAACCCCAAAACGCAGATCCTAGCTCTACTTGACCTGGCAATGTGACCTTGTGACCCAGCTGCTTTCCCTGGGGGCAAAATGCAAAATGCAAAAAAAAAAAAAAAAAAAAAAAAAAAAGGCCCATAGCTCTAACATTCTTCATCCTGCGCCTCGGGCGGAAAGCGCTAACTGCGTACTGGAGAGAACCTTGCAAGGACTACACATACTGGAGGGAACCTTGCAAGGACTACACATTAGAACGAACCCAGAGCGATTTCACAAAGAAGCTACACTCCGTGGTAAGGGAAACTACTTGGCATCATGAGCTCGTTACCTGAATCAGTCCCAATCTGTCAGGGATACACACAAAGTGGGATGAGATTTAACAGCCTCCTTATAATCCACAAATAAGACACTATCTGAAAAGGGGAGAAATACCAGCATCTTTTTTTTTTTTTAAGATTTTATTTATTTATTTGACAGACAGAGATCACAAGTAGGCAGACAGGCAGGCAGAGAGAGAGGGGGAAGCAGGCTCATCGCTGAGCAGAGAGCCCGATGCGGGGCTCGATCCCAGGACCCTGAGATCATGACCTGAGCCGAAGGCAGAGGCTTTAACCCACTGAGCCACCCAGGTGCCCCACCAGCATCTTTTAATTCACATCCTTTATTCTTCTGCTCACTCCTGACCTTCGTCCTCTCCATGAGTGTCCCTAAACCACACACTCTTAAAACTGAATTTGAGCTTTTTTTTTTTTTTTAAGATTTATTTATTCCACAGTGAGAGAGGGAACATAAGCAGGAGGAATGGGAGAGGGAGAAGCAAGCCTCCCGCTGAGCCAGAAGCCCCATATGCGACTCAATCCCAGAACCCCGGAATCATGACCTGAGCTGAAGACAGATGCTTAATCACTGAGCCACCCAGGCGTCCCCTGACTTTGAGCTTTTAATGGAGGTTTCTGCAAAGAAACGACTAGGAAATTAGAGAGGCAGGAGACTTCAAGGGTTATGGCTAACAGTCTGCATTTTGTCCTGCTTGTCCTGATCAGGTGGCCAAAGGGCACATTCCAGGCAGGGTATCTGCCACCACATCTCCCCAGCCATTACTGAGCTGGACTTCCCCAGCTTGGAGAAAACAGCACGACTTTTAGGATTCTTCCGATATTCTAATTTTTTCCCCTGCAGTTGTTGACATTCATCTCTGTAGTAGCCTGGAAGCCTTGTGCAAAGTCAGAGCCTCTGAGACACTTGAAACGTCAAGCACTACCACACAGCTCCCGTCATGGTGCTTTCAACTTCATTTTTTGATGAACCAAAAAAGCAAACCATCATTCCATGTACAAGGCACTCAGCTGTAGACAGACACAGCCATGGCCTTCGCCCTCATAGCTGGAAGGGTAAAAGCATTCAAACGCTGGTGTAAGAAATGCCAGCTTAATTAAATTATGCTGTTTGTCTAAACGCTTGTGGCCAAAACAAAAAGGGGCACACTCATTGGCTCAATCCATCCTGCCCAAACCCGAGGTAAAAGCAGTAAAATTCTCCCTACCATTAGAGTCTCATGGCTCAGAAGTGGCAACTTTTTTTTTTTAAGGTTTTATTTATTTGACAGAGGAAAATGACGAGTAGGCAGGCAGAGAGAGAGGGAAGCAGGCTCCCCGCTGAGCGGAGAGCCTGATGTGGGGCTCCATCCCAGGACCCTGAGATCATGACCTGAGCTGAAGGCAGAGGCTTAACCCACTGAGCCACCCAGGTCCCCTTAACCTGTCTTTTTAATTGATTTTCCCCTTCAGGAGCACGTGTAAGCAGGCTAGAGCAACGCAGCACACCCTCTTTGCACATCCAGTCATTCAATCCTTCACAGCCCAAGAGCTGAAGGCAAGAACACCTTCTGCCGCAGAAAGCTCTAGGCCTATGCTAACAGGTCACCTGCTCTGTGGCAAGTTTTGCTGCTGTAGCTGTTGTTTTAGAGAGAGGGGGAGTGTGAGTAGGGGAGGTGGAGGGAGGGGAGACGGAGAGAAAGAATCTCAAGCAGGTGAGCCCAGCGAAGAGCCCGACTCGGGGCTCAATCTCACGACCGAGATCACCACTTGGGCCTGAAATCAAGAGTGAGACACGTAACTGACTGAGCCACCCAAGCACCCCTGCTCTGGGGCAAGTTTTTGTTCTTTTAAAAAAGATTTTATTTATTTGACAGAGATCACAAGTAGGCAGAAAAGCAGGCAGTGGGGGGTGGGTGGGGGAACAGACTCTCCATTGAGCAGAGAGCCCGAAGCAGGGCTCGATCCCAGAACCCTGGGATCATAACCTGAGCCAAAGGCAGAGGCTTTAACCCACTGAGCCAGCCAGGAGCCCCTGGGGGAAGTTTTAAAAGCTATTTGTGGAGGGGTGCCTGACTCTCCGTTTTGGCTCAAGTTGTGATCTCAGGGTTGGGGGATGGAGCGTGGATCCTGCTTGAGAGTCTCTCTCTCAGCCTCTGCCCCTCCCCACCCCACACTTGCTCCTTCTCTCTATAATAAATCTTTAAAAGCTATTCATGGAGCAGATGCGGGGACAGCACTTTAGGACATCTTAACACTGTGTCACACCGGACACCCTTCCCAAGTTTTAAACCCTTTCCAGCTTTCTCCACTTGTCAGTGAACATCTACAGGTCTACCGCTTAGAAGCAGGGCCTCCCCCACCATTTGTCTCGCATCCATGTGGATGTATCAAGTACTTACAAAGACATTTTCCCGTCAATTACAGGAGAGTAGGGAAAATGAAATTAAGCCACATAAAAAATTCTCCCACAATTGGTTTTCACTTGTGAAATATTTATGCACAATTTATAAACTATGAAGCCAGAAATGACTTATTTCAACAGATCTGACTTTGCCAAACTGTGTGGGTGCAGCACTCCAAGGGGAATTACTCAGGTTTTGAAACTCAGATTAAAAAAAAAAAAAAAAAATCTAATCTTTCACTCCTTACACTAAAATTCTCAAAAGTCTTTAAACGGCATTTAGAAATAAGAACCAAATTGATCAAGTCATTCTTTAGCCAGAACACATCGCCTTGTCTCTACCGTTATCAAGGACCCCTGCCTGTTTCAGCAAGTGCGACCTAAGATTAGCGATCACAGCGCAGAATCACGGTGGGCTTCAACGGCAGGACCCTGGTCCGAGCTCCGGGAATTCGCACGGCGTTGATCTGGCCACAGGAGTACTACAGAGAGAACGCCTTCCCGGAATTTCAGTTTTCCGAGATTTTCTCAAAAACCAGGGAGTCTTTATTTTTACTGCTTTAAACCAACTGTCGGGGGAACCAAAAGGCGGAGGGAGGGCAGTCACGTCGCGGCGACACAGCCTGCTAGTCGGACGGCGATGGCTTCACGCGTTAGCTCGCGCCCGCAAACGCCCAGGCTCTGCGGCAGCGCCGTGCGACGGGAACGCGGCGGGTGAACCGCGGGGCTCTCGAGGACGAGACCAATGCAGAGCCTGGTGGGCACAAGGAGGAGTGTCCACGAAAGTGAGAAATAGGTGAAGACGGTGGTCAAGGGAGACACTGATTGGCTGGAGCGCGAAGAAAGGGAAGCTCCGAAGGAAATTCTAGAAAGCCACAGGAGCCGAGCCGCGCGACGAGCGGCGGGAGCCCGCCGGCTCCGAGCTCCCCGGGCAGCGGGCACCCAACGGCCCGGTCTCGGGTTTCCGCGGGTCACAAAAGGATAACGGACATCCTCCCAACGGTGGACCCGGGGGCTCTGCGCGCCGCTTCCGCTCGGCCGCCCCGCCTCGGCCGCCCCGCGCGGCCCACCTGCGCTCTGCCCCCGGCCCACCGCGGCGCGGGACGGGCGCTCGCGGCGCGATGCGGGCCCGCGGCCATGCTCCTCGGCGGCCCACCCGCCTTTGTTCGCCGGGCCCTCCACACTCACCGCCGCCATCGTCCGCCCGCAGCCCGGCGCCACGAGCAAACGCCGCCCGACGCGAAAAAGGAGGCACAGGCGTTTCTCGTCAAAGCAGACTTTATTGGGCGCCGGGGCCGCCGCGAGCGCGCCGCCCGCTCTCCCGCGCCGCCCCCGGGCCGCTCGCCGGCCGGGACCCCGCGCGCGGCCCGCCCGCCCTCCCCTGCAGATCCCCTCCCCGCGGCGCCGGGGGCCGCGCACCGCTCACCGGCTCCCGAGGCGGCGGCTGCAGCGGCGACACCCCGCTCCCGAGTGCGGCCCGGGCCCGGGGCGGCGGATTTCGCTGCGGTGGCACCGCGGCGGGAGGGAGGGAGCCGCGCGACTAGCGGCGGCGGCGGCGGCGGCGGCGGCGGCGGCGCGCTGACGTCACACGCTGCGGCCAGCCGGCGCGCGCGGGGGCCGCCCCGTCGACCCCAATCCGGGAGGAGCCCGGGTGAGTGGGCGGGGTTGCGGTGGCGAACGGGCAGATTGATTGGCAGAGGGGGAGGAGCGAGAGGGCCAGCGGGCGAGTGGGAGCGAGGCGGGGCGGGCCGAGGCCAGCGCGGAAGTCTCGCGAGGCCAAGCCTGAGCGGAGTGTGGCGGCGGCGGCGGCGGCGAGATCTGGGCTCGGGGTGAGGAGTTGGTATTTGTGTGGAAGGAGGCGGAGGCGCAGGAGGAAGGGGGAAGCGGAGCGCCGGCCCGGAGGGCGGGAGGAGGCGCGGCCAGAGCGGGCGGCCGAGGCGCGGCGAGGCGGGGCGCCGGGGCGAGCAGCGGCCGAGCGAGCGCGGGGCGCACCGAGGCGAGGAGGCGGGGAAGCCCGCCGCCGCCGCCGCCGCGCCCGCCCCTTCCCCCCGCCGCCCGCCCCCTCTCCCCCCGCCCGCCCGCCCGCCGCCTTCCTCCCTCTGCCTTCCTTCCCCACGGCCGGCCGCCTCCTCGCCCGCCCGCCCGTAGCCCCGGAGCCGAGGCCGCCGCGGCCGTGGCGGCGGAGCCCTCAGCCATGGCCTCGGGCGACACCCTCTACATCGCCACGGACGGCTCGGAGATGCCGGCCGAGATCGTGGAGCTGCACGAGATCGAGGTGGAGACCATCCCGGTGGAGACCATCGAGACCACGGTGGTGGGCGAGGAGGAGGAGGACGACGACGACGACGAGGACGGCGGCGGCGGCGACCACGGCGGCGGGGGCGGCCACGGGCACGCGGGCCACCACCACCACCACCACCACCACCACCCGCCCATGATCGCGCTGCAGCCGCTCGTCACCGACGACCCGACCCAGGTGCACCACCACCAGGAGGTGATCCTGGTGCAGACGCGCGAGGAGGTGGTGGGCGGCGACGACTCGGACGGGCTGCGCGCCGAGGACGGCTTCGAGGACCAGATCCTCATCCCGGTGCCAGCGCCGGCCGGCGGCGACGACGACTACATCGAGCAAACGCTGGTCACCGTGGCGGCGGCCGGCAAGAGCGGCGGCGGCGGCTCGTCGTCGTCGGGCGGCGGCCGCGTCAAGAAGGGCGGCGGCAAGAAGAGCGGCAAGAAGGGCTACCTCGGCGGCGGGGCCGGGGCGGCGGGCGGCGCGGACGCGGGCAACAAGAAGTGGGAGCAGAAGCAGGTGCAGATCAAGACCCTGGAGGGCGAGTTCTCGGTCACCATGTGGTCCTCAGGTGAGCGCCGGCGCGCGCCGGCCCCCGGGATGTTTTTGTTTTGAAGGGAAGCCATGTTTTATGTGTGTGATGGGCGCCGCCATCTTCTTCGCAGGGCAAGTATGGCGGCCCCAAAAGATGGCGGGCCGCGGCGGGGGCGGCGGGCGGCGGGCCGGCGGGCCGAAGATGGCGGCGGGAGGCGCGGCGCCGCCCGCTAGGCCGC